ACAAAATTACTTAATTTGCAGAGCAAATTCGGACGAATATAGAGTTTGATTTAAAGAGCGAATTACTTATACACAAATTTATTAAGGGTGCTATAGCGCGCGTACAATCAGGGGCCCAAGCAGAGGCGGATTTGGAGCACACTCAATTGACTGAAGCAGCACGCGCTGCACGTGCGAAAGCCACGCGTCGTGCCGTACAAAAAGGAGGCATTATTACTGTTGAGAGGGCCAAGGAGCGAATTCGATTACGCACACGAAAGGAGCAAGAAAGTTGTGAGAAGAAGGAGTACTCTCGGCGTCAATGCCCTAAACGGGAAAGACCCAAGTTTGTACGCTTCTATAGGGCTATTTCTGCGCATGCCCGTCTTCGTATCAGTGCTATGGACTATGAGGACCAATTAGAGTATCAAATTAGCGATGAGGGGGGGCATTAGCTATAGAAATAGAAAAAATCTATCGTTGCGCTGCGGTGCACTAAGCTGCAAAGCTTAGTGCAAGAAGTGCACGGTTACTACGAGAAAAGGGACATATCATATTTTGGCCCGTGGGCTACCCTGGGCCAGGTCCTTTTTTCCTGGGCGGGGGTTCCCGGTTTGCCGATGGAGTATTAGATCACTAGCTCTGCATTGCACACAAGGGCATACCCTCTATATGCGATTTGTATGTGGTTTGGATGCGTTTACATACATGTGGAAGCTTGCGCTCACATTATACGTAAACCTGCATCAACTCACTGCTTTGTCAGAGCTATCACCATAAATAGTAGCTACTGCCCACGCAGAAATAGTATCGATTGCAACCGCATACGTTCAACAGTATCTAGTGCTGATTCAGATACTTAATATAGAGTCCTGATGATTCGGTTAGATTCATATGTCTTGACAAAGGTTCATCTGGTCTAACTCGCATGATTGAATTCACTGGCTAACTAATAATGAATGTGATGTGCCTACGTATAACTGGGTCGTAACAGTGAGCAGCAGCCAATGGGATAGTCCTTTACCCACGCAGCATGCAAGGAACTTCCTTCTGTTCGTAGACTCGGTACACGATAACAAAACCTAGACTCTTTCTTCCAAACGATGCGCGCTATTGATACTATAACACCTAGTACCTGGTCTTAATACTATAAATCAAGCAGCCCGCAGTAACCTCACCACCACGACCTTGATTGTTGCCTACAAGACCCATTGATTAGCACACACTCACAATCAGAAAATTCGGAGACACTTACAGTTCCTCCACGCATTATAAAAGATATCCTTGCACGTGTTATCTGTCACTGGGGTATCAAGATTATATTTCCCATCCTTAGGAGTACACTTATCGACATTCTTGATCAAGATATCGTACACGTCGGCCTGGTTGCCCATGCTCTCCGCGTAGGGGTACGCCATGTTGGCCACTACGCGGCCAATTAACCTGTCGCCGGCGATGATGGTCGCTTTGACATCGATGGGAACCTTCGCGTCGGTTTCTTTAGCGTGTTGCTCGCAGAAGTACTTGGATGCCTTCTTCATCTCAGCTTCATGGGAGTCTTTGACGGCTTTGGTGGGGTTGGGCACGCATTTTGGCTGGGAGGGTGGGTTTACGGGCTCGACACTGTCCTCGGGTGGGTCCTCAGGCCAGTTGGGTTGAGTGGGCGCTTGGCAGTTGTCGCCGTCGGCGCGCTTCAATTTGTTGGGAGCGTTGGCGAAGTCTTTGTGGAGTTTTTGGATCGCGGAGTCCACGTCGCCCATCCATTTCTCCATCTCTGAGGTTTTGATGTCGAAGAGATCTCGGAACTCGAATATAGGCGCCTCACGATCTGAATTGTAGATCTTTTCCATTTTGGTCCTGAGGCCGCCAATGGAGCCATCGATGCTTTTGTCAAACTCGGAGAGTTTGTCTGGTGTTGGATCTCCTTCACTGATACCCTGGATCCATTCCTTGATGTTCACCTTAGCAGGGGGTTTGGCGCCGGCGTTCTCATATGATAGAGCGCCAAACTTGTCATTGGGGACGGGCTTCGTCAGCGGCCCCGAGCAGTATTCGGTGTCAACCCTGCATGCTGTTAGTCGAGGGTGCCGGAGGAGTCAAGTTTCTTACTCGAGGCCTCTCCCACCCTGCTTATAGCACGCAAGAACTCTGATTAGTTTGAAGAGATCACCGCAGAGTTTTGATTTGACTTGTTGGTAGATGGTATTGAACTCTGTTCGAGGCATAAAAGTGGTGAATAACTTCGGGCTCTGATCCTGTCTCAATCTCTCTTTCGCCGCTTTGGCATAGGACAAGACCAAGGTCAAGAAGCCAAGCACGTCATCGCTGATTTTGGACCCATCAATGCCGTTGGGCTTTGATTGGAAATACTCTTTTGTTACGAGAGCAATGAATCTTCCTTGGGGTCCCCGAGGGGTGTCCCCATCGAGAATGTTCCGATTTGGTCCTTGGTCAGGGCCTGCGATCTGTTCCTTCATAAGACTGTATACAGCTTCAAGCGGCATTGACGTGGTGATCTGTGGTAGCCAAAACACGTCTTCAGCCTTGTCGGTATCTCTACTCGGAGATGCGATCTTCCAAGGGTTGCATTTGTTATTCGAAATGTCAAGGGTCTTTGGACCATTTCCCTTCCAAGGACTCCACTCGATCTGTCTATATCAACACGACAATACACAGCATCAGATGTCTACAGTACTTACAAGTTCATCCGCAACTGCTTTCACTGTTTTCGCAGCATCCCCGGTGCCGACCTTAATCTTCTCGCCGTCTAGAATGTATTCTGCATTAAGTTTCCCCTGACCAGATCCCGTGTCTGCCGACAAGTACCAAGTATCATGTTTGCGGTTGGCAACAACCTCTTTCTTTGCCGCATTTGTGTCCTGGTTGCTGCATTGTGGGTTTTCGAACGTGAAGGCAGGGCTCTCGAATTCAGCTCCGATGCCTGCATCACTGGCAGCGCGGCCTTTTATGGATGCAGCAAGCAGCAGTGGGAGGTACGGCAGTAGATGCATGATGGAAGGTATTTTGCTTGAGTGGTATGTGGTGCGGGGAGGCGATCGTGAGTTGCAGATTTGGCTGATTCTTCAAACACATACCGGTCAAGCATGAGCTTTATATATCTGGACAATCATTTGGGGCCGGCAACAATTGATCTCATCATCTTAAAATTCTCAAGACCACTGAAGACGAGGCTGTGTATAGTTGTTGGATCTTCTGACTGTATTTCGTTTCACCAGTCTGTCGTGTGTCACCAGTCTGTCGTGTGTCACCAGTCTGTCGTGTGTCACCAGTCTGTCGTACGCCATGTCGAGGAACCTTAATCTCAGTTGCTTGGAGGTAGGGCCAGCGAAGGCCAAAACAGAGTGAGACCAACGTTAGGCTGAAATGTGATATGTCGAGAAACCCATCAATCTCCTTAGCTTGAGGGAAGAGGCAGCGGCGGCGAAGCTGAAGAATAAGTACAGCAGCAGACGGGGGCATTATAAGGACGTCATTGATCACAGCCTCGCAAATATTCAGACAGAGGGGGCAGAAACTCATATACCGAAAGGCAGGGGCCAACAATTGCGTATCATATTGCGCACAGCATCGGCAGGCAGGGCAGAGTGCCTTGAGATGTGGTTTCATGCGAGACCTCTGGTTGCATTGACGCCCTCGAGCTTGGGCTTGTGAGCTGTAGGCGTTCGTTGGTTCTCGTGGGATTCACTGATTTTTGTTGTTTTCGTAATGTAAGGCAACGCCATCCTCTGTGAGACTTACTGTTATTGACGAATTTTGAACTGATGGAAAGGGAGAGGCAATCAAGATCAAGAGCTCACGGTCTCACGCCTAATCCGGCACAGGCTTTGACGAGTGAACAGCATGTCAGAATGATGCCGTATCAAGACTTAAAAAATCAGGCTGCCTGTCTCAGGCTGCTTGAAAAAGGGGCTACTATGACAGTAAAACCATGATGGACGACGACAGTTCACTCAGCAGACGATTCCAGGGCCTCTGATCAATTTTCGAGATTGTTGGAAATGAGAGTCCTCATGACTTGATGTTTCAAATCTGGCTGTCCACACTGAAGGGAAGCGGCATATGGAGGTGTACTTTACCCGCAGCCGGACCCTGATAGCGCACGCCCCTAATACCACTAGTAATAACAGTACATTAAGTCTTTCTGAGTGCTCATGATTGATCATAACAATTTGTATTATATTTGTATATAAATTGTTGAGATCTATCCTATTAAAGTGAGCTCGCTGATCGCCGTGGCCAGCTGTTTAGAGACGCAGGGACCAATGACTATTCGAAAATGGTCGCAACGACAAGAGGCGCCAAGGCAGCAGCAGGATGGCTACAACGCACAGGACTCCTCCCACAATTCAATCTCGGCCTCAACTAACACTAACAGCCAGGGCCACACAGCCAACCACCCGGAAAGGATAGGAAGGTGGGATGTCTCTTCGTAACCCAGAAACGGATGGCTCATAGGTTTTCTTCCCTAGAGGGTTTCTCCTATAGACTGTTGTTAGTATCTCCCCTCATGAGCTCAATGGCTCGATAGGTATAAGAATAATAATAATAATAATTCTATTAAAGTAGATATCTTAATTATTTAATAACGTGGTTCATAATCATCCCGCGCATTCGGTCGGATACTTTTGATCTAGTACTGTATCTCTACTGAAGATCAGAATCGGCTGTAGGATTAATATAAGTTCTGAAGCTAAAGTATAAGTATAGTTGTATCAGATTTGAAAAAAATTTGAAAAATTTGAGCTAAAATAGTGTGGAGTAGTGAGCTAGTTTAGCATGCCAAGACCTAAAGGCCAAGAGTTTTAGTATGCCACCCCCATCTGTGTCCTAGAGAGTGGGGCAATGTATTAGAACTAGTCATTGTGAGCACCGTGCTAACAATACTTTTGCCTCATACTGTAGTACAGATATGAAAATTCTGTTTGTCAGTTTCGTTCCTTACCTTAACTCACTCACGCATACTGACCCCAATAGCCTTCAACCCAGCATCTACCGCTACCATGGCACTCACTAATCTGCCTGTCGAAATTCTTGAGCACATAGTCAGGCATGCCCTGCCAGAGGGATTTGAGAGCCTGGCTTTAACCTGTCGGAAGATCTATGCAATGTGCACACCGTTCATTGCACGGCACAACTTACTACGGTCGCATTTCCAACATGTGATCTTTTATGAAAAGATGGGAGACCCACTATACACCATCAGATCAGCCTTCGATCTAATTGCACGTATTGTAACTGAGCCTATTGTAGCACGTTACGTACGGTACTTAGAGTCCAAGGTTGACAGCTGTTTCCTCTATCACCGACCCCGCCATCTCTATCCAGATGTCAATTGCGGCGACGTCGTGATCAAATCCTTTGCCGAGTCGCCGTACCTTAAACAAGCAGGTCTCGACTGGCAAGAATATTATGACGAGATTGAAAAGGATCTCGAAGCCGCTCGATACTCGCAGTATGCGGCAGCTTTTCTGCTGACGCTTCTACCGAACGTCGAGAAGATTGCGCTACCTAAGAAATGGAAATCTGTCCTCGCAACTGACAAGCTCATTGACGCCGTCATTCACAAGGCCCGGCAATCATATCATCTCCCGTTTGATACATCGAGCCTGACCAAGCTTACTGAGTTCGAGGATTCTGTCCCTTTGAATGCGCACCAGCGCTTCGACATGGCTTTGGCGAGCCCATTCCTGGCTCTACCTCGCGTGCGGTCTTTCTGGGGCCCTAGCTGTGTGGCTAGGCAGGACAGTGGTCACCAGAGCATAGACAAATCCCAGCTTACATATCCATTCGGGGAGTCACTTGAGACGGTTGACTTTGTAAGCAGTGACATAGACCCTGCAGGGATTGCCATATTTCTCAAACACACCACACGCCTGAGAAAGCTGACGTACTCGCACGCATCTAAAGACAGTGAAGGCCCTCATGACGACGACTGGGATATCTGCAACTTCGTGACGAAAATAGAGCACGCGGTCGGAGCCCATCTCGAAGAGCTTTCTATTTCAATCCGCGAACTGCGAGGATCACTTACTCCTGGTAGGGCATCACTGCGCGGCTTTCAGCAACTACGAAAGCTCGAGCTCCCCATTGAATTCGCCGTGTGTAATGCTAGTGCCGACGCCGCTGCGGACCGCAATATCATCTTGTCGCTAGAATCTTTGACTATCGAAGACGGTTCAACAAACCACCCCACATCGGACAACAAGCAGCCAATACTTGGACACCTTATTCCTCCATCAGTCCGTCAGCTGTCGTTACTCTCATCTGGCGCACAGGATCATGCGAAGGCGCTCGAGGTTATATTTCGGCACTTCGCCGCTAAGAAGCCATCCAAATTGCCTGCTCTTGAGGAGATCTACTTGTCTTGCCCTGACAGTGCTGACGATTTGTACAAGGAGGAATGCGCTGAATTGCAGGCGGAGACCGAGAAGGCGGGCGTGGTCTTGCATTTGAAGGCGTGGTCATTCAACTTTTTATAGTTTGGAGTGCCCAAGGCTTTCAAATGCAACCGCGGAAGGTGCCTATCTAGCTATTATCAGCAGCTCCAAGGGAATGCGATCTGGTCGACGTTCAGGAAGCAAACAACACAAGAAGACGACAGCAACCGGTCCCTGTCGAGGTATTCCAATGTCATGCTGGTCGAACCAGTGATGGCTCTCCTAGCATTATTTTTAGAGGGTCTCTTCCTGCTAAGGCATGCGTAGCCCACATAACACGTCAGACCCGTCTGCGGCCAATTGTAGCCGCGGTCCTTTTGGTTCAACAGCACGCCACTCACATAACGTGTCACCCCTCTAAAATCGCACCACATCCACCGACTGACTTATCTACACCATTTCTGGGGCATTCAACTGCGAATGAATATGGACTTCTTCATGCCTTTAGCCAGTAATCGTGATGCCCTTGACATTTCCCTCTCACCGCCCACAGTGAGAGGACTTGCTACGTTGTTTAGACTACTAGTGGCTCTCCAGTATCTCGTACCAAACGCCATCACGTGTCGCCAGCAGTTTCTTTTAAGGACTTCATATATTGCAACCATTAATCTTGTCACAGTGAGCAAGCCCTACCAAGTGTCAACCTCCGTCTCGGCTGCCTCACAAAAAATCTCCTGCCGATTCAAACGGGAAGAAGTCTCTTGCCTGGCGACAACTACACGATCGGGCGCCTGCTTCTTACAGCGTTCACTTTTCGATGGCTATTTTGAGCCGGTTCCGTGAAATACCCAATTGCGATGCAAAATGACCAGAGTCATGGAGAGTGCTTTTTCTGTAGCGAAAGGACCACCAGCCGGAAGGGTTGGGGGGGACGATTGCCGGGCCCATCTCGATGAGCCTGAGGTGGTTCCGACTCAATGCAATCCTTTTAACTCTGCCGGATGCCTTGCCTCCCCTGGCTGCCGCCCATACTGTCTGGGAAATGTAACGCTTTCCGGCTTGCACGAATTCGTCAATTCCTTGACCGGTCCGAGTGGCAAGATCATCTCGACCAACATAATGGGAAGCTGAAAGTCAGCGGAAGCGCTGAAATGTCCGCATCCGCGAGCGCAGTGTGGCAAAGCATTCAACTCGGCGCAAGAGCTGAGGCTCTATCTGGAAGACGTCGAGCCTACAAAGTGGACTCAAAAGGTCCAGCATCCGATGGGGTCTTCAGTTCCTTATCAATGAAGAACTATTTATTTTTGAATCGATTCGCCGTCTAATTTCTTAAAATAAATAAATTCGGTAGTTTTACAGTGAGTCTTATTGCGATCGTTCCGTATATTATAAGTATAAATGGTGTTCAAGATCATAAGAGAGCGTAAAGGGTAAATCTACTGTGCATTGCGAAAGTGTTGCGAATCCTTGGCGTTGTATCCAGAATTGCTGGCGCCGCGTTGTCAAACAGAACACGGCTCTTAAGGGTCATCTATAAAGTTGTATTATGTAGATAATATATCAAAATGATGCTGAGCTTCTCTTGACTCTAATGATATAGATAAGCAATAATACAGATCTTGATTGGGAAAGCTGACTTTTTACATAGTAAATTCTACTTCTTACAGAAGAATCCTCTATATCTAAATCTATATCATTAGAATCAGGAAGAGCTCAGCATCATTTTGATATAAGAATTGTACAACAAAGATCCGTAAAAAAGCCTTAAAGAGCTGTTTCTGTTTAATGACGCGGCACCAGCAACTTCACACCCGCCAAGTTTTTCGCAAGACTTTCGCAATGCACAGTATTGTGCGTCCCAAAAGTGTTGCAATTCCTTGGCGCGACCCAAAAATTGCTGTGCTGGCGGGGCAAAAAAGCGGTCAAATGGCGGAATCGCCAACTGCGTGGTAAATAGGCGTAGATTTTGCTTGTAAATGCTCATGAAGCTCGCTATTATCCCGATTTGGCCCTATATTGATTTTTGAGCTTGGTGTTGCGTTTCGCGATGAGTAATCTACGTTTTTCGCGGGCTGCGGTCGAGAATATGGCCCTGTTGCTTGCTACTGATGTAGAACCTCGAGAAATAGCTCAAATCTATCGTTGCCACGCTTCAACGGTAGGCAGAATCAAGCAGAATATCGTTGTATTTGGAGATCCACGGCCTGCGCCTGTATTGGTTTAGGGTAGGCCTCGAAAAATCACACCAGAAGC